CAGCATCAATCATGTACTCTGTGGCTCTGTTACTGCTGCTAAATGCTGGATCCTGTAAGGAGTTTTTAATTTATTAGACTTATAGTTAACTTACAATTTGATGAGTTATAGTAATAATTTTGCTTTTTTTCTCTGTCTCCACAGATGTGTTCTGTATTGATCTCATCCAGCCAGACTCTAAAGTTGTGCAGCCTGGACAGTTTCTGACTATCACCTGTCAGCTCTCTGGTTACTCTATAACTGATAACAGCTATGCAACAGGTTGGATCAGACACCGCGAAGGAAAAGCAATGGAATGGATTTTTGAGATGTGGGGTAGAGGGAGCTTATACCAAAATGATGCTCTGAAGAACAAGTTCAGCTACAGCAGAGACACTTCGGCTGGAACAGTAACAATAACAGGACAGAATATGCAGCCTGAAGACACAGCTGTTTATTACTGTGTGAGGCGGCACAGTGATACAAACCACAGAGGAGGCTGTACAAAAACCAGTCAATCAGGCTCTATAACAATCTGAAGAGACTGACTACAGAACAGTTCTCTTCCAACTTTGATCATTGCACGTTTGCTTGGTGATAAATGAACTCTGTCATATTTGATTGTAAATGCTCAATTTTCCATATTTACTTCATTATGCCTCTTCTGCAACCAACTGTGGTAATCAGAAGAGGAAACAGTGGGAAAAATTTGCACACAAGGAAGAGTGGAATTATTACAATATATTTTCACTCAAGAAGAAATAAGAACTAAAAAACTCACTCAATTAGGATTTAAAAAGTGTTTGTGAAAGGAAAGGTTGTTGAAGTTCTGAATATGACAACTGGTTTTAGTTTCTAAAATAATGAGTTAGCTTGACGAAAACCTGAAATGATGAAAGTATTTTAAATAATGGCATTATAAATAAATAAAACATAAAAAACATAATAAGCAAAGAGAAAATATTAACAAAACCAACAATCTGAAGAGACTGACTACTGAACATTCTCTTCCAACTTTGATCATTGCATGTTGGCTTGGTGATAAATGAACTCATATTTGATGGTAAATGCTCAATTTTCCATAGTACCTTGATTATGCCTCTTCTGCAACCAACTGTGATAATCAGAAGAGGAAAGAGTGGGAAAAAAATTGCACTCAAGGAAGAGTGGCATTATTTTAATATATTTTTTACTCAAGGAGAAATAAGAATTATCACCAAAAAAAATTCACTCAATTAGGATTTAAAAAGTATGTCTAAAAGGAAAGGTTGTTGAAGTTCTGAATAAGACAACAGATTTTAGTTTCTAAAATAATGGGTAAGCTTGATGAAAACCTGAAATAATGAAAGTATTTTAAATAATGGCATTATAAA